AGGAAAGTTGCTTTAAAATTCAGCCCATTAACAACTTATTCTAATTTTACAGTGTAAGGAGATGTTTAATTGTGAAAAATTAAGAAAAGAATTTCAGGCCTCTTAACTTCTAAACTAAAAAGAATATGCCAGGAAAAATAAAACAAAACAAAGTTATGGAAGAGAAAATATGAATGGTAAAATTTTATTTGCTCACAATAAAATTTTAGAAATGAAAAAGACCTAAGAAATATATAGACCAAACTTTTCTTCTATCCTGAAGACCTTCAGTTTTATAATTTACATGAAGAACCTAGTCTAAAATCTAAAATCAAGTGACCAGTCCCAAATGACAAGATTTGAAGCTTAGAATCTATGAATTAATTGCCTGGTGAACTATTTCCTAAAACTTCTGACCAGTAAAATTAATCTTACCTTATTTCACTTTTTAATGCTTTCATAATTACTTGGCATTTCTATCACTCTTTAAGTTCATAAAATATGTATTCCTATCATTTTTATCATTTTATACCTTAAAATGCCTAGCTCTTCTATCACTTAACAATGCACAATTGACACAGTTTCATATTTCTAATAAAAATGTTTCATTTAAAAAGCGCCACCAAGTTTTTAAAAGTATCACTTTAAGCTGGCATGTGGGGGAAAAAAAGCTCTATCCATATGCATGGGATTCATGTAGCTATTTACTCTATTCCATGAAAAACATACTTACCATGGCAGCCCCTGCATCACACGGTACATGTGTACACGATACAGAGCACCTACTTAAAGAAACACACTCACCAACACATACTGTAAACTTTTGCAAGTATTACAAGGGGAAAAACTTGTTTTTTCACTCTTGAGCAGACTTCTTGCCAGTTTTTTCAAAAGGCATTTTGGACTGATTTGCTGCTTTTGTTTACATTTTCATTGAAGAAGAAAAATACTATAGATTGGCTTAATTTAACCTATGTTGACAATAGTCTTACTTTAGAAAACTATGCCCAAACCTCATCCTAATATTTCTAGTCTAAACTCCCCTTTCCAAGTAAATGTAATTGATTACATGTGTTACAAAGCTAAATTGTATATACCAATATCTTCGATAAGCTTTCCATGTCACAAGTGCAATGACCTATATATTTATGTACAATTGTTCAATTTATAATAAAGAACTTAGTCACAACGGATAACCCCCATGCCACATAAATGATAGATGCCCTTTTCTTAAATCACTAAAGTGAGACTACTGTCAAGATAAGCCATCACAATGGTCAACCATAATGTAATTTCAGATCAATTACTGTGTATTTACAAAATGTTCTTGGAATAAGAAAAGTAATAGGTGCAAAAGACAGCTGAAGTGGGTTTGTCAGGTTTTTTTTTTTCTTTTATTTATTTTTATAATGGTGGCTAAGAAAATGATGTAACAGTGGCTGCTTGCATTTTTCACAAGTAACAGAAGTATTATTCAATGACCCCCAAGGAAAATACTTTTTTTAAAAAAGATTTAATCTATGATATGTTTCCTTGCCTAAACCCTTTTCAGATATAGCCCAAGAATGTCAAAGGTAAAAATTTGAAGGAAAAGAATCCTTTCAGCAAATAAGTATCTTCACAATAAGAGGAAAAGAGTCAACGTTTTTTCCTTTTCTATGAAAACAATCCCAAAATAATAAACTATTGTAAATGGGCAGGTTTAGAGTTAACAGATAATCCAAAGATCTTCAGAAAAGATCCTAGCTTATCCATGCAATCTTCAAAAAAATCTAAGAGGAATCACTTCAGTTTTCATGGGAGTTAAGCAATGCAGCTACCAAGAGATGGCTGCTGCAAAACACTTCAAAAACAATTAGTCACTTAAAGCTGGCTATATATTATTCTAAGTGTATTTATACCACACGGCTTAAAAAAATAAAACAAGATGAAAAACTTACTAGCTACTTGTTTACAAAGTTACTGAAAATACATATATTTAGAAAACAATCATTAAAATCAATTTCATAATAAGAGTATCACAGAATATACTTACTATTAGTCTTTTTAAAATTCCATGGCAGACACCATCTGCCTCTGAAGTGGCTATTTCCTTGCTATTTGGTACTAAAATGTTATTAAATCAAGAGTTCTATTCTTTATTTAACCAAATAAACTAATTTCAATTTTACTGTTTTCAAATTTAAATTACTTTTGAAAGAAATGCTAATGGGACTGGAAACTAGACAAAGGAAACATACCTTTGGTTCTAAAAAGCACCCTTTGAAGTAGCGATACTGAACTGACACGCCTCTACTGAGTACAATGGTTGCTTTCCATAACATGCTGTAAGGAAAAAAATCAAAACAGCAGCATCAATATCTAAAATGCAAAAGGCCCCATAATTCACAAAACCCCTCCAAAGAGGTCTATGACCAAGACCTGTCACTTATTCCTACATGGAATTTTACTCCACGTCTACTCTGAGGCAAGCACTGGGAACACAGTGGTTCACATTTCATAAACATTGCAGCAAGAGACCCCTCTTCAAGGAGCTTGCTTTCCTGTGTAGGCAGAGAAATATAAAATAAAACAAGGTCCAATGGAAGATGTGAAGAAGGCTTTGGTGGAAGATGCCTCAATGGGAAGAACCAAGTGAGCTGAGGCCCAGATGACGAGCAGGAACCAGCCTCACAAAGATCTTGGAAGTACCCTAAACCAAAAATCCAAACGGTGCAGAGGTGGAAGCAGTCAGAACCTCTCTGACGTTCCACTTAGCTAGGTGTATTACACAGCTTCTAAGAGGTGGGACCACACCCTTTGTCACAAGTGAGGAGTGAATGCTGGTAAGCTGTGCTCGTGTTCTCTGCTGTTCTTTGGTCTAATGTCCTTCCTGGGCCAAGAAATCAGCACCTGTATCTGATTTCATAGTTCACATTCCTAGGAACTATGCTGTTCTAACGGCAACTAAAACTTTGACTCAAAAGCAATCTAAGATGAAAAAAACTCACTACAATTTATGATTGTAACAGATCTTGAGCTTCAAATTATAGGCCAGTGGCACCCCGAGTGTGGCCCAGGACCACTGGTATCAACTGGGAGCTTGTTAGAAAAGCAAATCCTCAAGTCCCACCCAGAACTATTTAATTAAAAACTCTGGGGGTAAGCCTAGTAATCTGTCACTTAAGAAGCTTCCAAGATGGGTCCAGCAGTTAGCGTAATGGCTAGGTAGCTGGATTCCCACGTAGTAGACAGCGATTCGAGTCCTGGACCCGGTGGCTTAAACTCACACCGGTCGTGCGTGCATGCGTGCCCAAGATCCCGAGAGGAGAATGGAGGAGAAGGGACTGCGGTGTGGTCATCCCCCCTAGGGCATTATTTCTTTCTTTCTATCTCTCTGTCTGTCTCTGTCTGCCTGGCGAGCGCTGTCTGCCTGGCGAGCGCATGCGCTCTATAGCAAAAAACCTCCCCAAAAAAAGGAAAAAAAAAAAAAAAAAAAAGCTTCCAAGATGGGAACAGCAGGTGCGTGATGGTGAAGGGCGCTGGACTCCCACATGGCTGACCACGATTCAAGTCCTGGACCTGGCAGCTTGCTTTCTCACTTTTCCCTTCTTTCTCACTTTCACTCTCTCTTGCTGTCTCGCTTTGGTTAAATTTAAATAAATAAAGTTAAATAAAATAAGTTTTTAAAAAAAGGCTTCTAAGGTGGGACCAGCAGGTGGCATGGTGATTAAGGTGCTGGACTCCCACATGGCCCACTGCAGTTCAAGTTCTGGACTTGCAGCTTGAAAATCATGCCAGGTACATATGTGTGCATGCCTAAAATCCCAAGAGGAGGATGGAGGAGAAGGGATTGCAACATGGTCATTCCCCTTGCAGGGATAATTTCTCATTTTCCTTCTCTCTCTCTCTCTGGTGAGCACATAGCCTATGGCAAAAACCTTAAAAAAATGTTTTTTAAACTCTCTCGATGTGTGTACCTGCATGCCTCAGATTCCAAAAGTAAAGAGAAATGGAGGAGAAGGCATTTCACTATGACTAGGTCACCCTGGGGCATGCTTTCTCACTTTCCCTCTCTTGCTCTGCCTGCCTCTCTGTGGCCAGTATGCATGCCCTCTGGCAAAAATTAAGGAATGGAAGGAAGGAAGGAAGGAAGGAAGGAAGGAAGGAAGGAAGAAGGAAGGAAGGAAAAAGAGAGAGGAAGGAAGGAAGGGAGGGAGGGAGGGAGGGAGGGAAGGGGGAGGGGGAGGGCGAGCGGAGGGAAAGAAGAGAAGAGAAGAAAAAAGAAAAGAAAAAAAGGTAGGTAGGTGGGTGGAGACCATGGAACTGAGAAATCTGTCTTCCAATTTAAAAGAGCAAACACTGGGAACCAGCAGTTAGCATAATGGCTATGTCGCTGGACTCCCACGTAGTCAACCGTGGTTTGCGTCCCGAACCCGGTGGCTTAGAACTCACGCCGGGCGGGTGTGCGTGCCTGCCCAGGATCCCGAGAGGAGAATGGAGGAGAAGGGATTGTGGCGTGACCATCCCCCCTGGGGGGTGATTTCTCGCTTTCTGTCTCTCCGTCTCTGTCTGTCTGGCGAGCGCACGCGCCCTATAGCGAAAACCTCTCCAAAAAAAAAAAAAAAAGAGTAAACACTAAATGCATAAAACTGTTCTAAAGAAACATTACTATGTTATAGGAAGTCAAACAGTAGCTATCTTTTCACACAAACGTTGTAAACTACACACACAGCTCAGCCATGACCGTGTACATATAGGGCTACCACTTGGGAAGCTGGACGCAACCAGAGAAGCCTGATACATTCCCAGCCAAACTGAACGTCCTGACATGGTGGTAGGACTCTGTGATCCCACTAATGAGAAAGCACACACACACGCACACACACACACACACACACACACACAAAACTATGCACCCGTGACAACTTTGATAAAAATTAACACTAAAAGAAAAACACATACCAAGGTATCTTGGAAGCACCTAAATTTATCACCTTAATGACACTGTTACTCTGTGACCTGTCATTTGCATGCTTACCTTTCACCTGTCTCATTCTCTGGAAGCAGAGCCACAGCATTTTGGGGATTCCAGTTTCCCAAAGCATCACAGCTTCCACATATTGCAAAAACTTCTCCTAAAGCAACAGAAGAGCCATTTACAATGAAATAAGTAATAAAGTTTCAAATGTCTGTTCTAAGAGGCAAGAGAAGAGCACACTAGTTGGGCTAGATGTAGGCTGTGTCCTTTAGCAGAGCTATGGGTTGAGGCCAGGGACCACACTAGCACCTGTGTATTAATTTGATTCACCTCTCTAGAACTAAAGCCACAGAGAAGGGAGAAGGCTCGCAGATGAACTGTTCTGCATTTGCTCAACTACTTACTGAGCCAGTAACAAGTACTCAAGAATACCAAGTGACCAAATCTCAGTCCCTGCCTTCAAGGCAGCTTCCACTCTAAAAGGGCAAACACTAAATCCATAAAACTGCTCTCAAGAAACATTAATATTTTATAGGAACTGAAATAGTAGCTATTAATTAGCTAAAGATCAGGAATATCAGAACCAGCAGGTGGCATGGGGGTTAAAGTGCTGGATTCCTACGTGGCTGAACGTGGTCTGAGTCTTAGACTGGCAACTTGAAAATCACACCAAGCACATGTGTATGTATGCCCAAAATCCCAGGAGGAGAATGGAGAAGGGAGTGTGGCGTGGTCATCTCCACCCCAGGGGGTGATTTTTCACTTTCTCTCTCTCTCTCTGCAGAGCCTATGCGCTCTATGATAAAAACCTGGGGTGGGATGGGGGGAGGACCAAGAGAAAACAAGATCAAGATCATCAATGGGACAGCTGCAATGTAGTTAAAAAGTCCAAAACAAAGACTTACACGGTAAAATAAATCTAGTACTCTTTACTAAAACATTGATTACCATTTCATCTGAACACTTTCAGCAGG